AAAAAAGATTAATAACCAAAAAATTTTAAAAACAAAAGAAACATCAGTGAACATTAATATTACCTTATTATAATTAATACTCATGACAAAACGAGGTTGTGATTGAGAAAAATTGACATGGAGACCATGATCCTAAATACAACCGATAGAAACTATGTAAACAAAATATTTGAATAAAAAACATGGTCATTATTTAACATTTTCTTAAAAACTTGCACACAAAAAAACTATTACCTGAGTAGAATTACCACCCATGACGAAACGCGATTGTGATTGACCTTGGCAAGTATAAATAGCATCACCCGACTGCATTGCCAGACAAACCAATTACAGATAAAAATAATTAAATGCCAAGCAACCCAACTTGGGAAGTGTAAACAGTAATGAGGTTGTGATTCACCCATGAATAAAATTACCACCCATGATTCACCCATTAAATACCTGAATAGAATTACCACCCATGACGAAATGAGGTTGCGATTCACCTTGGGAAGTGTAAACAGTGCCACCCGACTACATTGCGAAGCAATCCAATTACACATAACAATAATTAACCATATAATGAACGAACTTAATGAAATGAACTCATCAAACTAACCATTAAATACTTGAATAGAATTACCATCCATGACGAAATGAGGTTGTGATTCACCTTGGGAAGTGTAAACAATGCCACCCGACTACATTGCGAAGCAATCCAATTACACATAACAACAATTAACCATATAATGAACGAACTTAATGAAATGAACTCATCAAACTAAACATATAAAGACCACATTACTATTAAATATTACCTGAATAGAATTATTACCCATGCGGAAATGAGGCTGAGATTCACATTCGGGAGTATAATCAGCGCCACCCTACACACAACGAAAAACCTTAATGAAAGTGGGCCATTACTAAATAAAATCAATGTTTTAGTTTACTAATCTACTGTATTTTAATCGTATGCAATTTGTCATGTCCAAACCTGAATAGATTGCATCCTTTTCTTCTTTGCAATAGCTTTTTCCATCCCGCCTTTGATCCTCCTTCTTCCCTTACTAGTTGACTCTCTTTTCTTCAGTCCCTTCGCTTGGATTGGACAATCTACTTCATCACTCTGTGGGCATGCATTGCTTGGCGAATTTCTCAAATCAGTTACCTCCACTTGACCAGAAATGTGGAGACTTAATTTGTCTTCAACTATTACACTCAGTTCTTCACCTTTTGAAACTAACAATTGATAAGTTTCTTCACTTTCAGCGGCTCTACTCACTATTGCTCTAAATATGGTCATTAATGACCGATATCGGTCACTTTGATGTAATTTGACATCAGCCTTCACTTCATACCCATGTCTATCTTTCACTCGTTCAGCCCCTGCTTTTTTAGTCCATCGTTTCAGTATATATTGTGGAGGAAGTTCCGTTGCATTGAATATATCTCTAAGCACCTTGAGACAATGTCGACATAATATGCCTTTCACTTCAAACTTCTTACAACTACAACTCAAACAACCCCCTCTATCCATTGTCACAATCTTATCTTTTTTCCCATCTACCATTGTTCTTATTGTGAATTTGGTGCTCTCACCATCATTAGTAGTGCCTATAATGGATGCTTCAATGGACTGCACATACTCATTTTGGAATTCCTCAAAAATAGTTTTCGTGTAAATCTCTGCCACTTGCTTTAACATCACAGTTGGAATTGAAACCCTCGGCAATTTTTGGGACAAATTATACTCCGCTTCCAATTCCTTATACCTCTTCTCATAAAGCACCCTCTCAAAATGCTTGAAGAACTCCATCAAATTATGGTCACAATTCAGATAATCCTTCAGAAATGCATTAAAGGATTCACTAAGTTGAGTAGTACTCATTCCAGCTGCCCAAGAATTCATAATATATGGCCATCCCCATTTCTCCTTCACGCGAAAAGTCTGCTCCAACCAATGATTGTCGAATGCATCATACTTATCAAGCATTTGGTCGCACTGTATTCAGAATTCTTCTTCATCATCAATGTCATGCATAAATTTTGAAAACACACCCTTCACCCATACATCATCGAAAACAGAACTTACATGCTTGACAGCAGTTTGCATCAAATGCCACGTACAAAGACGATGGTTTGTATCGGGCATGACAATTGGAATGGCCTTAGCCATCGCAACATCTTGATCTGTGAAAATAGTTTTCGGAGCTTTGTTTGACATTGCCTCCAAAAAAATTTGAAACAACCATGTAAAAGATTCAGCAGTCTCATCATACATCAACGCTGCACCGAATATAACTGTTTCTCGATGATGATTAAATCCAACAAATGATCCAAAAGGTCTATGCTCATTATTTAGTTTGTAAGTAGTGTCAAATGTCACAACATCACCGAACTGAGCATAGTCCATGATCATTTGAGCATCAGCCCAAAATATATTACTTATCTGCTCATCACAATCTAATTGGACTGCATAAAAAAAAGATGGTTTCCACAGTTTTCTTACGAAAGTAATGCAAGACACTACCCGCTTCCCCATATTCCAAATCTTTTTGTCTCTTCGATCTTAGGTAATTTTTTTGGTCCAATTTGGTGAAACTAAAGTGATGCTCTTCCACCAGATTCCCTACCAAATAGTTCATAAGCAGACCTAAGAGGAATTCCAGATTGTGAAGCTAATTCTACTTCAATTGCTTGGGTGGTAGAAATTTTTCTTTGGGATGGCAACATATGAATGCAATCTTCAGGCACAAGATCATGATTATGATGTTCAACAAAATCACAAGCAAGATATTTTCCTGAAATTCTATCCAACTTGATACTAAATCGGGCACCACAACCACATCTTACCTCTTGTCTTGGATTTTTGACAAGTGGATCTCGTTTGTCAATACCCCGACTTCCCTCTTTGTAACATACAAACATTTACCTACAATTCATATATATAAACCACATTTATACTTAATTGCAGGTTCATATATATAAACCACATTCATATATATAAATCACATTTACCTACAATTCATATATATAAACCACATTTATACTTAATTGCAGGTTCATATATATAAACCACATTCATATATATAAATCACATTTACCTACAATTCATATATATAAACCACATTTATACTTAATTGCAGGTTCATATATATAAACCACATTCATATATATAAATCACATTTACCTACAATTCATATATATAAACCACATTTATACTTAATTGCAGGTTCATATATATAAACCACATTCATATATATAAATCACATTTACCTACAATTCATATATATAAACCACATTTATACTTAATTGCAGGTTCATATATATAAACCACATTCATATATATAAATCACATTTACCTACAATTCATATATATAAACCACATTTATACTTAATTGCAGGTTCATATATATAAACCACATTCATATATATAAATCACATTTACCTACAATTCATATATATAAACCATATAATTATATGAATCCACAACTAAATTTATGAATCTGAAAATAGATCAATGTGATTAACTATATATGTAGAACATAAAATTGCATATGAAAAAATCTATTTTACAGAAACAATAAATATTGCTCTACAACATTGCTCCCACCAAGCTATTGCTCCCACCAAGCCATTGCTAAAGAAACAATAAATATTGCTCCCACCAAGCTATTTTACAGGATAAACAGCAATGAGAACACCTATATGCATCAAATATTTATAAGTTCCATTTTTAAAAAGACCTAATCAATATGATCTGCATTCTACAACATTAGACAGGAACACTTTGCTTTCTAAGTTTCTAACATATAATACAACACAATTTGCCAATCTCAGGAGGTTAGAATAACTTTTGTTGTCTACTTGCCTTACTATGTCTTTGATTGATTTGATAGAGGGAAAAAATAACATTTACTAGTAGAGTACATGCACTACAAACATACTAAAACACAAATAAAGCCTCAACATCATAATTACCGTTATGCATCATAACCACACTAGACAGCAAAATCCAGCTTCAAGTTCGAGTATCATGATTACTGACCTTTGTGGATCGAAAACCATGGCACAATATCACAATCTCCACAGATCCAGTTTCATGTAGTATACCAACAAGTTTTTCGCCAAACTTGTTTGGTATTGTGATTTTCTGTTGCGACGCCGGCATTACCGAAACATTCACTAGAAACATCACAGATGGTTCTTAAGAGGACAGCAATTATAACACAAAAATCTCTCTTTTCATACTAAGTACAACTATACACAGCCAGCTCTGAATTCTGTCCACAATAAATCCTCATAGAGTCATCATCTGAAGTTTCATTTATAAATCACAAAATACTTTACAGTCAATATTTTTGTGGATGCTATCACTAACTATTTCTATTATGTGCTGCATGAAAAAACATTGCTAGTAATAAAGAAGTGAAGCTTTTTTAATCATCTAGTCTGTATGTCATTTGATTTGTTCTATGAGGAACAACCAACAACTAGTTGCTAAATTCTAATCCACACACGGGTACTCAACAAGCAACGATTTTCCACACCTAATTAACAGTTATATTTCTCCATCAATAATTAAGAATCACATACTGCCACAACTAATTCACTCCATTAAAATCAACAAACAATGACTAGCCACGATTAAGAGCACGTCTAATCCTCAACCAATTCTGTCTAACACTCAATATTATTACTCGAATTTGATAATTTTTTTTTAAAAAGAGTACGGATTCATTTAAATTTAAAAGCAATGGTTGAGATTGAAAAGAGTTTCAATGGTTTAGATTTGTCCATGGCTAAAATCCAATGGTCCAAATTTGTATTCCTATGAACTCTCACCAACCCACTGCATTTTACCAAGTAAGGCATCATTTGTATTCCTATCAATGCAGAAGGCTAGGAACAAAGCTTTGAACTGGAACAAAGCTTTGAAGAAAGCTTCGAAGAAAGCTGTGAAAGGAAGAAAACTCTGAGAAAGCTCTCTTCTCCTCTCCAGGTAAGACACCCTCCTCTCCTTACTTTATTTTGCTCACCTTGAGTTTGAATGCTCAGTTTGAATGCTTGCTCTCTGAAATTGAAATTGAAACTTCGGACCACCTTCAGTTTTTTTTTACCTTTGAAATTGTTTTAGCTTACTCTGTCTCTCTTTCTCTTTCCCATGTTAAAACAATGCTTCTTAAATACAAACTGGTTTTAGCTTTTTCCCTTCTATTCTTCTTACATACTTTCTATCATTGAACTGAGTTTCTATTCTTTTTAGCTTTTTCCCTCTTATGATACAAACTGGTTTAAACCAATCTGTATTCAGAATCTTCTTCCCCATTGAGCTCTCTCATGAGCTGTGGAAAATGCAACTGCTATATTCAAATGGAAGCTTGGGGGGAAAATTTATTGCTTCCACTATTTAAACCAATCTGTATTCAGAAGACAAACTACAAAAAAATAATATACCACATGGTCCACAAATCAGTTGACAACACAGTGAGATAAAACATTTGGTGTAATGAATTATGCACCATTTACATTTTTCCATCATGTTTCAACTAATAATGCAGGCTACATTCCATCACAACTGTGGTGTAAACTTCAAATAATTTAAATTTACATACCACCATATAGTATCTGGTTACAGGTATGGAAATCAGAGTATGTAAATTTACACCTCCAACAAGCCTTCCAGAAGTTTTTTTGTGGAGGCAGCCTTGGGAGAGAGTTTAACCATTGTGCGCACATGTGATGCTAACTCTCCAATTAATTATATTGTAAATGATTTTTTTATTTTTTGTTTCTTTTGTAGATGCAACTCTTTTGAGTACGTGATGATATCTTCGCATATCGATATTGGAGCTTACTATTGATATCAAAACAAGCTATAATATATATGTTTTTTTTATTTGTATTGTCGATGTTAAAAATTTGAGTTCTTGAATATTAAAAATTATTAGTATTGTTGGAGGTTGTTTTATATATTTTTGTAAAGAATATTTGGTTGGCAATTGTTATAGGGTACATATATATTATTCTTGATATATGATTTTGTGAATGTGAATTTAGATGTGGATGTGGATGTGGATGTGGATGTGGATGTGGATGTATTTTATTTATAAAATATTAATAATTTTTACAGTGAATGAATTAATAAAATATATATTGATTTTATTAAAATAATTTTATTGTTTACATTTTATTAGTGACGCGTTAACATGTTGCATATATATATTAGTTCAAATCTTTTGCGACGGTTCAAACTGTCACAAATAAATCTTTGCAACGGTTTGAACTGTCGCAAATGCAATATTAATTTAATTTTACTTTTTTGGCGACGTTGTAGACCATCGCTAATAATACTTTTCACGACGTCAAATACCATCACTAAAAAGGTTTTTGGCGACGACAATCAACATCGTCACAAAAAATGAAGTTTTTTTCTCTTTTGTGTCAGGTTAAACCGTCGCAAAAACTATTGATTAGTCGTCGCTACAAGAAAGCGATGGCTTATAACCGTCGCAAATACATTTTGTCACGCCTCCTTCGGCCACTCTCCATTTCCTGTCGCTACTTCGTCGCAAAAAGTCTTTTGTGACAGCTAGTGCACCTTTTGCGACGTTCACGGCCGTCGCAAAAGCTCCGATTTTTACTAGTGCCTTTTCATAATTTTAACGAAATTTCTCCATTTCCCTCTGCCTCTTCACTTCTCATTCCTACATTCCCTTCTCTTGTGCTCAAGTTTTCGCTCTCTAGATTTCGCCATTTTTTCACCTTCGAAGCTCTATACTTGCTCTGATTACCTCCTCCGGCGATCATCTGACTTTGATCTTTCAATAACTCAGGCGTCTCCTTTTTCAACTTCAATCGCTAAGTCCCTGACATTACTGTTCGTACTTTTGAGTAATTTGTACTGTTCTCCGTTTGTTTTTATGTTCTAGTCATCATAAGTCTTTTCTGGTTCCTTGAATTTCCACTGCGCTTTGAATTTCATCATTCAAAATGTCAAATGTGCTTGTTTGCAATTTGTGTTGTCCAATTTATCTCTGTGTCTATACGCACTGTTCGTGGTTTTTGCACACACATACGCACTGTTCAAGTGTTTGATGTTTTGACAATTTGTCACCGCTCTTGACCTTGACACATTTTCACACACCTGGTCAGTGTTCTTGAATCTTTGTTTCTTTCTTAAGTCTGAATTATGTTCTTTTCTGTTTCTCTTTGACTTTTTGATTTCCAGATTCCTGCCCTTGCACCTTTGTTTTTGTGTTTTAGCTTTTAGGCTTAGGATTTGCCCAAAAACCAAACACCTAGGAGAAACTAAACAAAATCCCTATAGATCTGAGAAAACCTTAGCCCCAGTGCTAGTCTAGGTTTAAGTCGAGGTATTCAGACTTTTATTCATCACCCTGTTGCCCACAA